AGATGTAACTGGTGTGTTTCAAGTATTTGTTGGGTGTGGGCGCCTTGTTAGCTCGTCAATCGCTTGTGACTGTGGACGCCATGATGTGATCGGTTGAGGTAAAATCATATTACCAGGACGCGGGTCTCGAGAGCGAACTAGTAAGGGCGGGTCGCTTCGTCAAACGTGTCGGCATATTAATGGGCGTCGTGAGAAATGCGATGCATCAAAATGGCGACCGGACGAACGCAAGACACCTGCATGAGGCCATCGGCCAGCCGCTTTGCTACCGCCCTGACGAGGTTTTTCTATGATGGTATCGCAGTTCCCCGGCCCGCGGAAAGGCTGGCGATCTGGGCATCTCCTAGATCTGGGTCGCTTCTCCAGCCCCGTCGAAATCGCTCTTTCAGTAACACCTCTCTGCTCCGTTGGGTGAGTGGGATGGGATCTTCGCGGCTCTCTTTCAACTGTCCTTGACCTGAAATCGCCAAAGGCAGTGTCGCGACAACAGCGATAAATTAGAACCATGCTAAAGTTCCTAAAGGACCCAGACTGGAAGCCACTCCGACTACGTTGGACCCTCGGCTGAGCTGGACAAGCCTCTTTTCCTCCGCAGGGCTAAAGCACGAGTCTTCTCGTGAGAACGTGCGGAAGTTTCTCCACGAGCAGGGGTGCAACGACCGACACTCTCCGATCACTGCTACTATGACTGGCATTAAGTACGTGTGTAAGAGATCGCCTACTGCGCCTTGGTCAGTATTGCGGTTGTTGGTGATACTTTCTTACCAGTCTTACTGTAACCTCTCTTTCAAGTTACAACATCAGACTTTGGATGGCCATTAACTACCTCAGACCACCCGAGTAGGGCTTCCGCGCAGGGAGCCCGCGCCTGAAATCACGAAAGAATTTCAATCCGGGTTTAGGGTTTTTTTGGTTCATTGCTACTAGGCATTCGCTTACTCTAAGTGTGTTAAGGTCTTGGCATGAGGGGTTTCAGAGTTTAGGGCTCAGAGTGTTGGGTTTGGAGCTTGGGGCTTTGTAAAACAAGACCTTCCGGAACCTTGCAGCGGCTGCTTCACCTCTCTCGCCAAGGTGTTCGTTTCCCCGGCGATTCCCTCCAGTATGATGACTAGTCTTGGCATGGTCACCACTGTGGATCTGTTGTGGATTGCTGCGGTCGTCCGGCTTGATGGGGCTGGGTGTGAGGTGGTAGTAGTCACAGCAACTACTGCCACTGCTCCACCGCCCAAATCTTGGCTTCGTACGGTTGATGATATAAATCCTGCCTTACCCATAATAAGGACTATACCATAATTCCCAGAGGTTAGGGTCCTTAAGGTAATGCCAAGGATTTCTATCATCCAACAGTAGTTTGATGGCTTCGTCGCTCTGTTCTGGCAGCTCTGGGCTCCGGACTCTTCGCGACTCAGGTACTTGGCCGCCCTAGGGTGGCGCTCCATCAGCTCACCCAGAGCTCCTGGTTTAGGGTTTAGGGTTTAGGGGTTTAGGGGTTAGGCTTTAGGGTTTAGGGTTTGGGACTTCCAAGTCGCAACGTTCGGATACAGAAAGAGGCACAAGCAGGGATAACCTAGGTCAAGAATCGGAGCAAGCAGGTTGCCATGTCTCAGGTGCTAATATGAGGTTGTAACAATGCTGGGAGCCCCGTGAACGGAAGATTCTCCTCCTCGCAGGTAGTCTCGCTTGTCTGAAGACCTGCAGCGCACAAGCACGTCGAGCACTCAGGCAGAGAGGTCTTGTCGATGGGCAGCCACTGGACTTTTTGCGTCGGTTCTCCGCAGACGATCGAGACATGGCGCACGCAGCGCAGCAAGAAGCTGTGGCGGTGCTGAAGCGAGAGCCACAGCCGCCAGCACGATGGGATCGGCGTCCAAACTGCGAGGCTGGTGCTGCAGACAGCAGACCAATGGATGCAACCAGCTGAATGCGGCTGCGGCGCCCTTGTGAGCGCCCCTGCCTGAGCACACTCTGCAAAGAAAGAGCAAAGCGAAACAGCAAGAGTGGGAGCACCTTGCTGCTGCTGGGCCACTCAACCAGCTGAAGTGCAGCGCCCACTTCGCCAGCGGCAGCGCACGAGCTGGCCGCGCAGTGGAAGCTCAGGGCATCCGCAGAGCCCTGGGCGCCTACAGCGAACAGCACGAGGGGCATGGAATCCTCTCCAGCGAAAACATCACAGCTGGGGGCCCAACTAGCTTCTTGCAGATGCAGCAAAAGCTTGCGCCAAGCGGATCCGAAGGCTGCCAAGCACGTGTTAAGTGCCTGGTGTCGTGTCGGACACAGTTGGACCGGGTCGGGGATATCTTGCGCAACACGAGGCGTGCATGCCGAGAGGCTGTGGTGTCAGGTCGGAGGCTCCGGGACGCCTCCAGGAGTCTGCGCTCCCCCATGCGACCCAAAAACGCCCATCCCACGGAGCCTGCACCTTCAAGGCCACCACGGCGCTCCGCCACCTGCTCGGCTGAAAGGAGGAAGGAGGGGCATGCTCCCCGGTTCCTCCTGCTCCAAGCTCCGGCCTCCCAGAGTCGGCAAAGGCCGCGAGCCGCTCGTTGAAGCAGACGAGGTCTTCGGTCACCTCCAAGGCGATCCGAGTCCGCTCTCATGCTGTCGGCCCATCCCCCGGCCTGCCAGCGCCCCAGCGCCGCAGAGATGCCCAAGACCCGGCGCCAGTGCCCGGCACGCCTGGCCGCCGCCATGGCCATGGTGGCACAGGAAGCGGTGAGAGCTGCTCCTCTCAGAGCTCAGAGAGTAACTGAGTAGCACTCCTCTTCTCCCCTGTAGGTCCCTCCCAGGTCCCGGGGGCCAGTCCTGAGCAGAAGTGCAAGGCAAAGAGCTGCATTGCGGCTTCCCACTGCAGAGCTTCGCCTTAGGAACTCGCAATTTATGCCGCCTTTCAACTTCGTTCCTAAACGCCCAGCTCAGCCCAGGTCACCGCAGGCGGCTAAACTCGCGGCCAGGGTAATGGCGTCAGGGCGAAGAGCTTCCCGGATGCTGCGAAGTATCTGTGTGGCCTGCTCCCAATTCTGGCCTGGAGCCGCGTCTGTGAAACTCACACACACACCACTGATCCGACAGCATTTAATGCAATTTGCCGGCCTCGGCCCAAGCTGTTTGCCACGGAATTCAGCTGAATGACATTCCGGGACATGCCATCCTGTGGCTTAACTAGCTAGCAGGCACCGCCAATACTTGGCACGTGATGGTCAGGATTCTTCCAAGGCCGCACAGGACGCACCTGGGCAAATCCCGCCCATGCATCGACTGCCCGGTGCCAGCGAGCTCCCTCGGCGAAGGCCTACAGGTGGCGAGGACCGTGGACAGACAAGACCAGCAGCTTGGATCAGCATGGCCTGCAGCAGACTCGTCATGCCAACCGCATCTCGTCGGAGTCGAGCCTCCAAAGCAGAAGCACAGCGGCGATCATTCACCCAAGAGCGAGAGGAGAGATGAACCGCCCCGGCGCCGCCTGGCGCGTCTCCTCCATCAGCTTCGATGCCAAAGGCCAGTTCGCAGCGGCTGCGGCTGCATCGATGAGGGAGTTCTGGGCCACGAGGTCCGGCTGCACCTGCCTTCCGCTCGCATCGCGAAGCAGCCCCCCCGCACTGCTCTTTGCCAAATTTTTCACCGAGGCTCAGCTCCTGCAGCGTTGCGACGGAGCGAAGAGCTGCTGACCAGAAGGCATGCAAGCTGCAGCTGGCAATCCTTGGTCTTCTTGGATCTGCGGTGTGCTTCACAGCTTTGCCATCGAATCCCAGCTGCAGAGCACCAAGGGTGACGACAGTGGGAATGACGGTGTGCCAGCGCATGTCATCCTCAGGCAGACTTCGTAGGCATACGTGCATGCACATGCAGTTAGATATCCTCTCTCACACACACACACACTTACTTCTTCCACACAGACAAGAGGACACACACACTCTCTCTCTCTCTCTCTCTCTCCGCCATGGCTCGAGGAGATGGCGACTACGGTACCAAGCACCCAGGACGCGGCCCACGCCGCTGATGGCCTCTTCATCACGCAATGTTTGGGAGGCTTCGGTCTTAAGGCGCGAGCATTCTGCCCAGGCGCTGCGTTGCAGGGCACCGCCTCAAAAGCTCTCTCACGCCGCTACATTGCAAGAGCGGGCGTTGCGCAAGCCTAAAACACAAACGGAAGAACCACGAAGAACCTGAACCTATAGACTGACCGCTGCCGAGCGGCGTTGGCTTGCTGGCCAGAAGCCGCGATGCTTCGCAGAAGTCTGAGGCCCGCCTGCCACCTTTGACGCACATTCAGCGCAGGCTGTGCATCAGAGCATGTACCGCATACGCCGCAACATACACCGTATCGTCAAAAGGCGAAAAAAGAGAGCGGCCTGGATGCTTTGGAGCAGGCGCCGAGCGCGGCGCTCCTTGGACGGAATAACTCTGCTCCCGAGCTCAGACAACCCGAAGCTGCGGAGTAGCGACGGCGTGTCACACACCAAGCTACGGCGGTCCTTGAGACCATGGTGGCCCGCAAGCCTGCAAAGGCTCAAAGGCTTCAAAACAGCACATCTCCCTCCTCCCGATTCCTCCCCGCCTTGCTGAAGAAGTGCACTGAGCAGACACAGAGACTGGATCCATCCTCGAACATCGGAAAGCGTCAAGACATGTCAAGACATTCGAGCAAGTCAGCCAGACCCATGGCATACAGCTGGGAGGGCGTCTCGACTGTCGGCCGTATGCACCGATTGCTGTGTTGTACCTGGTCCAACCCATCTTTCCAAAGCGGGCCGCACATGGAGCACCCAAGGCAGCCAGGCTGCTCTTCGACGTCTTTGAAGACCGCCGATAGGTTGCGAGGAGCAAGCACGGCCATGCCGACTGGACATGGCACGCCGCGCTTGCGAGTTGTGAGATTGGTTCGCCAGTGGGCGTGTCTAAAGGCATACTTGGGCCGAACTCGACGCAACAAGCAGGTACAGTAGTTGGATCCTGCGACTCCACGGTTCTGACAGCTTTCCGGGGGAGACTGAGGCTTCTGCAACTCGTTGATGGGCTTGCCGAGCTGGACACACCGCTCGATGGCCTTGCGAAGCACCGGCACAGGATGGACGGCCCTTGATGTCCCTCGCACCTTGGCAAGGTACTTGTCACCCTTCTTCACCAAGGAGGTCACCTGGAGACGAGTCCCAACCAATAGACTTCAGTAGAATACAGCTGAAGAACTGAGAGGCACCTTGCCCGGCTCGCCGAATCGGGCCGTACGGCCAGCGCGGTGGAGGTAGTCCTCGGTAGTTCCAGCAGACGGGCAACGGTTAGGGGATGGTGTCGTATATGGTGTCGTCATCCACCCGCACCCACCGGCAAATGCAGTTTTTCTGCTCTGCAGACGGGCGATGGCTGTCACCGCTTGCAGCGACATCGGCGGTGCCCAGCGCTGAAACCGTGCCAACGGCGGCCTGTACCTAGGGTGCAGAAAGGCCGGAAGGGAATCCCTATACGGACATCTCAACACCGGGGCACAAGAAGGCTTGATGCTACGACGCCGACACCTGAGAAGGGGAACCGAACAGGTCTGCTCGCGCTCTCGATGCTTCCCCGCCTGCGATGTCGGCTCTAACTTTGGAAGCAGCCTGACTTGCAGAAAACCGGCTCCCAGCTTCTGAAACTCCGCTCTCGCTCGGATGCGGGCCTCGGCCATCATGGCAGCACTCTCGTTCAGCGTGGACCCGAGCCCAGCCAGCTTCTTCACCTCAGAAATGGGGGGGTTTCCGAAAATAGGGGACCCTAACATAGTACCCTTCATAGTAGGATCCTTATTATAAGGACCCCAACACCATGGGCCATAAAATGCCAAAACCGAGCCCCGCACTCTGCTCGGCAGAGGTCCGACCCCGAGCAGCTCGCAGAGTTCCTGGGCCGAAAGCACCCCAAAAAAGCTCGGCTGGTCCCGGTGCCTCCCCTGGTAGGGTTTTGGGTTTAGGGTTTAGGGTTTAGGGCTTTAGGGTTTAGGGTTTAGAGTTTTAGGGTTTTGGGGTTTAGGGTTTAGGGCTTTAGGCTTTTTGGGTTTAGGGTTGAGGGCTTCCCTCGCGCCTCGCAAAAATGGCAGCAGTTCCTGTTGAGAAGGTCGTACTCAGACATGGGCCACTCCTGGCAAAGAGGTCGCTTGCTATGCTATCCTTCCGAGCCGACGAAGCGCAGGGGTGCCTGCATCAAGCTGCAGATCAACTCCACAAGCTCTTCCTCTGAAATGGTCACGCTTCCCATGACCACGGCCTCACAAGAAAGCAGCTGTGTCAAGACTTGGGGCTTCACATGAGCCGGGGGCCTCGTGAAAGGTGTGCGACAGGGACATTCGGGGCAAACAGCTCCAAACCTTCGCAGACACAAACATACACAAAAAGTGCATTTTTTTGCAAAACAGAGTCGGAGGCATTTTTCTGCTTTTAACATCGGCCGAGGAGCTCCGGTGTCATGTCGGTCACACGGGCTGCCCTGGGACCACACGAGACGAGACCAGGGCCAGACCCGGCGCTCTGACGCCTCTGACAGTTGGCGGCCTGCCTCGGGCCAGCCGCCGTAGCTCCACTCCGTGCCGAAAACCTGCAAAGCAACAAGATTTGATTTCCGGCTGCTTGTTCAACCAAGCTCTTGCCTGTACAGCGCAGTGGAACGCACCGAGACCCACAGTCTTAAAGATACCGTTCAGGCTTTGCACCTCAAGCTCTCCATCTCTTCGTGTCCCTCTGTTCTGGTTCTCTCAGACAAAGCTCTGCATTACTCTTGCCCAAGTTGTAGATGTTGAGGAAGACCAAGTCGTCATCCTGCGGCGCAGCGCAGAGCGGTTCGCCCTAAGGAGCATAGCCTAGCATAGCCAGCCGGGTCCTCTCTTGAAGCCCGCCCGGAGCCATCTGTCAAGGCGTGCAATCTACTCTCAGAGTCAGAGCTTGCCAGAAACGTTCTCTACGACTCCAGGCTCTGATGGTTCACCGGCCTCTGTGAAGGTAACCCCATCGCGGGGTCCACTTGGAAGCCTTCGCGCTCCTGGAAACAGGGTTTGAACACGAGCAAGATGCAAATGACCGTAGCCGTAGCCGCAGCAGCAGCAGCAGCAGCAACAACAGCAGCAAGCGTTGTAGTTCTTGCTGCTGTCGCAACAAACAAAAGCAACCACTACCACTGGTAGCTTGGCTGGTTCCGATCCTGGTGGGGGCCAGCATCGTGGGAGACTCGTTGGGAAGCAGACCCTCCGAGAGGTTCACCAGCTTCGCCTCGAACTCTCTACACACAGCGCGCCGACACTCACCATAAACAAGAAGCTGGCGGCACAACGCGACCTTGCAAGCACAAAGGCATCTGAATGCGTATCGGGGAGCTGAGAGGAGACCGTAGACCGATCCGACCTCCGGGGCTCGGCTCAAGTGGAAGCTGGGGACCTCCCCTCTTCCCGCCAAAAACCCCGAAGCTGACGGCCTCTCGGGTGCTGACTCGCAGGGAGTTCTGACCCAGCCGAAGCGTGCCCGCCGGGAGGGTGAAGGCACTTGCGACGAATTTGTGCCGCATTGACTTTCGCTGCGCCGGGTCATAGTCGCCTGAACACAAGCGTAGGTCGGTAGTAATCGGACGCAAATGCCCTATTCCCGCCGAGTCGCAAATCACAACAGACTCGTTGACCTTGACATCGACAGGGCTGTAGCCTGCAGAAGAGATTTGGGACGATTCTGATCTGAGGATGAAGCTGCATCCGTGCAGAGTCCCTCTACTCCTGCCTAAATCTCACCGGACTCTAGACCCCCAACCCCGCTCAAAACTCCAAGACCCCCAAACCCAAAATCCCCAAACCCCGGCATAAACCCTTAACCCTAAACCATATTTTCCTCAGCAGGCCACCTTCGAGGCCCCCTCGTCCGGGCCCCGTGCGGTGAACCAGCGCCAGCTGGCAAAGCAGCGGCAAGTCCTCCAGCTCCTGGGCTGCGGTTGAGGGTCAAGGTTTGGTTTAGGGTTTAAGGTTTAAAGTTTTATGTACTGTAGGTTTTGGGCTTGCGAGACAGATAATGGCAGCGCGAAAACCCGTCGCGTGTCGAAACAGGTTAAAACGGCGGTCATATGAAACTGAGTCATCGCTTCACCAACCAAGGCACGAAGGAGACTTCCAAGTAGCAGTGGCTACCTTGCAGGCAGGAAGACCAGGCGTGATGTGCATGAGTGCATGAGAACCGGCATCCACAGATATCCACCGCTGAGTCAACTGCTGAAGAACAGTGCCTGCATTTCTTCCTGCTGCGCAAATCGGACAACTCGTCTACTCGGTTCACCGACTTTCATCCGCGAAGAGTCCTCGGGAGGAAGTTTCCATGACAGAAAGTGGTGACCTGCCATGGCACTCGCTGGCGAGGCCCAAATCAAGCAAAGTGTTTATACTGTACTAAACTATATTATAATATACTATAATATACTATAATATACTATAATATACTATATTCTAATTACAGGCGGCCTTCGAGATCCTTGAAGGCGGCATTCGTCTGCACCTCGGACTGGGGGATGCAGGCAGCTTGGGACTCTTTCCAGCTGCAGGGTAGGGTTTAGGGTTTAGGTTTAGGGTTTAGGGTCCCCGGCATCCTCAACCGGACCGTCGACCAGGGCTTGCTTTGCGGCCCAATTCAAGCTCCACAGCTCCTCTCCTCCAAGAGACAGTAAGGACTATGGGGAGAAGGGAAAAGCCATCGCCCACATGTTACAATGTCGTTGCATGCCGCATGTTCTAGAGGTGGCATCCTGGTAGCTGGATGTTCTCGGGCTGCCAAGTCATCGCACCCACCTCCTGCATCTGCTGCTCGACCTCCTGCGGGGAGGGTTTTAACATGTTTTAACTAGTAATTAGGACTCTTCAAACCGAACAACTCTGCCCGGGGCTTTGCGGCAAAGTGCGGGAACCCTGAAGCGATCGAATTGAGTCCTGGAGGCTGCCGCGGAAGCCCGGCTGCAGGAGCGCCCCGAGGCATTGGCCGTCGATGTTGCGCAGCACCAGCACCGGCGACCTTGTGTCTTGGATTGGGCTGGCAGCTTTGATGCTTGCGACAGGAGTTTCAGGACCCAGAGACACCTCACACAACAAAACCAAAGAAGGCGACCCGGGCGACACCTCCTCTGACAAAAAAACACAGCCCCAAATGCCAAAGAAAAACCCCGAAACCCTAAACCCTAAACCACCCCCTAACCCCTAACGCCCCTAAACTCCTAAACCCTAAGCCCTATAAACCCCAAGCCCTAAACCGAGCGGCCAGCAGCTGACATGGAGCGTCTCGGAGCTCCAGACCAAGCCAGCCGCCTCATCGAGACCAAAGCCCCAGAGACCCGGGAAGCAGCTGACGAGGGCCTCGGAAGGGGAGGGGAGGTTCAGGGTGAAGGGTTTAGGATTTAGGGCTAAAGTCTGGGGTTTAGCGTTTAGGGGGTTTAGGGCTTAGGGCTAAAGTTTAGGGTTTAGGGAGTTTAGGGCTGAAGTCGAGGGTTTGGGGAGGTCTGAATTCAGGGATTATTTGGGGGATCATATGATTGTCATTTAGGGTTTCGGCCTTCAGGACACTCCCACATTCTGCTTGGGTCATGCTTTGCGTAGGCATCCTGAGACTGGGTTGCAGGGGCTCTTTTGAAGCTCGCAGGTTCGTTGCTGCATGCGGCTTGCGAAGAGCCTTCCAGGATTCAATTTTGCTAGGTCTCCGGTCGAAAGATGCCCCTGTGCTGGCCGTAAGGTTTGCAATGTTACCGTTTGAAAGCTGATCCGAAGGCTACGTCCTGTTGTAAGACCCGGGATTCGTTCTTGACAGGGTTCAGGTGAACCCTAAACCCTAAACCCTAAAACCTTAGCCCTAAACCCTAAACCCTAAACCCTAAAACCTTAGCCCTAAACCCTAAACAATGAAAGGTTCCCAAAGCTGCTGGGACAGGGCCACTGCACTCCTTCCTTACCGGGGCACTGCAAGCCGGTCCTGGCGCGCCCGCTTGAAGAGGTGGGTCAGGACGGTGGCGCCTGAAAGAGTGCAGGAGCAGCAGAGATTTTTTGGGCCCAAACTATAATAGGCCCCTGTAAGCCCTGAACCATAAACCCTAAGCCCTAAGCCCTAAGCCCTAAACCCTAAGCCCTAAGCCCTAAACCCTAAGCCTAAGCCCTAGACCCTAAACTCTAAACCCAAAACCCTACCCTAAGAGCCCGCCTGGGAGGAGATCCAAGGCCTCCATGACCTCGTCGAAGTTCGGGCAGATGGCACAGAGCAGCGAGGCCCCCGCCGAGGAGCCGCCCAGGGCCCCGCCGCGCCGCAGCAAACGCTGCAGCGCCCGCTCCAAAGCGGTCCCGCGGAGCGCTCCACGGAGCCGGCCCGGGTCTCCACCTGAAAAGGGACTCCTTAAGTATGACTAGTATATATGTGTGTGTATATATATATATATACACATACTTGTAGATACATAACTGCCGGATACATAGATGCGACTGCGACTCTCTCAAATCTGATGATCTTCAAGGTATTGAAAAAGTTCGAAGATCTTATTTCTCACTTAGGGTTTCGTGGGCGAGTTCCGGGCACCTGTCACCCAGACGCACTGTGCCGCATCGATCAGCTCGGATAGCTGCGCCGAGTCCTTCAGACATTGGCCAAGACTCTTTGCGCCCAACCCTAAACCCGAAACCCCTAAACCCTAAACCCTAAACCCTATACACCCTAAACCCTATAACCCCAAAGCCCGAAACCCTAAACCCCTAAACCGGAAACGTGCCGAGAAGGTGACTCGCAGTCCCAGCCGCAGCTTCAGCACGACTCTGAGGAGCGACTTCGGTCACGCTCCCGAGCCTCAAACGTCAAGAATCGGAGGCCCGCAACATCATCTTGCTACTATTAGATGGGTAGTGGTCTAAATTATAGGGTCCCTTTGGGTGTCCTTTTAATAAGGGTGCCGTACTATGTTCGAGACCAAGAAAAGGGACCCTAATTTAGAGAACTACCCATATTTGCTACTGTCTTGAGGCGGGCTGCTCGTGCCACAGGGGATCTGGCCGGCAGCCGCAACCTGAGATCTTGGACGACATGACAAGGGTTAAGGGTTTAGGGTTTAGGGTTAAGGGTGTAGGGTTTAGAGTTTCGGGTTTAGGGTGTAGGGGTTTGGCGTTTGGGGCTTAGGGTTAAGGGTCCTAGAGGACTGGCTAGGACCACCGAGGAGCTGCTGATCACCACAATCTTCACGCGCCCCAGGAAGAAAGGCAGGGCCGCCCTCCCCGCGTCCACAAAGGCCCTCCGGAACTGGACCTCAGCATGGCAAGGCTTTAGGGCTTTAGGGTTTAGGGTTAGGGTTAGGGTTTTAGGGCTTCAGGGCTTGGGGTTTAGGGCTTTATTGCTATTTAGGGTTGAAACCACTCCCCAGCCCCACACTCCGCCCATGCCAGCCAGCCGCGAAGCGGTCGTCCTCCACACAGAGCCCTCTGCCACCACCATGGAGGTGGATGCTGCCTCGCAGCCTTTGGGCAGAAACCTCGCGGTCGGGCCAACGGTCCATCCTGAAGGCATCGGCGAGTCAAGTCGTTACAAACCCCGACAAGCCTCCGGGTTGTCCCCGTCTTTGAAGATTCGGCTTTGGGGGAGATGTACCACGAAGCCACTTGAGGAAAGCTCCTACGTAATTTCTTGGCAAACAAGCAAACGGCTGCAAAGCCGGAACCAGCCGGAATGCCGCCGAGGGCTCAATTTGACGTGCTCTTGCCCAGACTCCCCACTCGGCTGGTTTGGGGACGCGCCGGTACCAGGCTTCTCGGGGGCATCAGCAGCTGAATCGGTGAGCTGCAAGTTCGGGATCATCGTGGTCTTGTCACACCGTGTGTCATGGCGAAAAGCAGGGCCCGGCTCCCACAACAAACTTCGACTCACAGCCTTCTTGTCTCTACACGTGGCTAACACAGAACACAAGAAGTCATGCGAGTGGAGTTCCCGCGCTTTGTTGCTTGAAATGCTACGGCCAGACCCTTTCGTGATGGCCACTCGATCCCCAGACTGCTCCACAATTGCCCGTACTGGGGCGCGCACAATGGAATTGAGTGGGAAGTCGAAGTTCACAACATGCCTTCAGTGTGCGTGCAGATGGCCCTCCACCCGCTCTTGTGTCACCGGAACAAACGTGGCAAGGTCGGCAGCGGGTTGAAGCATAGTGCATGGGTGATATTCCGAGCAATAGGATAATAGGCGTAACAATAGATATCTTTAGTTAGCGATGGCCATTTCCATTTAGGTTATAGTATCGTCAAGCCCCCACATTATCACCCAAATTTTCACAATTCGTGTACCCCCCCCTATGAATATCACAAGAATCATAAGAACATCCCCCTACCTCTACCCATACCCTGAAAAATCCATATTCCCCATCATCCAGCCCGAATACCCTATGATAAACCTAAATGGAAATGGCCA